TGAGGCCTACAAGGGTCACCCAGGAGCCCTGGAGTAAACATGAGGGCTCACAGGCAGGCTTGCACCAGGTCCAAAAGGCTCCTGCCACCCTAGACCTTGATGAAAGGCAATGCTCCCCGAAGCAACCAGCCTCTCTACCTGCATGGGCCACCTGGTAAGAAAGCAGCAGCAGCAGCAGCAGCATGTACAATGCTGGTTCCCACCATCTCAGAAAGGGACCCCAACAGGACGGCAAGCCTGAGTCTGCACTGTCAGAGGGCCCGCAGATTAAACAGAGGTTGAGTCTAAAGAAACAGAAGACTTAGGGGGACTATGACAACTGTCTCCAAGTACCTGAGAAGGTGTCATGTGCAAAGAGTAATGAATTAGGCCTGTTCAGTGTGGCCCCAGAAGGCAGAGCCCAGCAGTGATGGAAGGAAAGCACAAAAAAAGAGACGGAGGGCTGGAGCCAAGAAGAAAGCCCTCCAGTGAGCCTCCCTCAGGACAGGGTAGTTTCCAGAGACTGGACAGCCTGGCTTTTACTGGGGTGAGCAGACCTAGCTGGCAGTTTCCAATTCCAAGCTTCTGGACAGGGATGCTGAATGAGCACACCAGGACCAAGCCCTAATGAAAAGGAAGGCTAGTCTATTTCCATCAGATTAACAGTTTAAAATGACCAAAAAAAAAAGTGTGAATGTGTCAGACAGAAGCTGTTTTATGTGAAAAGCTATCTGCATGACTAACAAATTTTAAGTGTATTATACAAAAAGATTACACCAGACCTCAAAAACAGCAAAGAGAAGAGAAGCATGCTGTAGGTGCTGGGATGATCTTTCTTCTCTCTTGCTCACCCTCCTTCCAAAACATAATGAGGAGCAGACACACAAAATTCATTAAGCAATAAATTCATTAACTAAGTTTAAGGTAGCATCTTGTATCTCTATTAAAATGCAAATATATTCATGTATCCTGTTCAAAAGCAATTCCAAGTGCCAGGTTTTTTAAGACTCTGACCTCAGATGTTGCCCCAAACCCTTGCTGTCTGATAAATGATCCCTTAAAACTTAATCATGCTAATTTTTCCTCCAAGAAATGGCTTAAGAAAGAAACCTTTAAGGATGAATTTTAGATGATGCATCTCTTAATAAAAAAAAAAGCCTGAAATATATTAAGTCCCTATTCCATAAAAAGGACTATGTTTGTCTGGGGACGAGACATTCAAAAACCTTCTTGCCTTCAAACCTTCTCCAGGGGAACACGACAGGGAAACAAAATCAAAACATGGTCCTCTAGGGACAGAGAGAACGCAGACTAGCAGAGGCTTCCCAGAAACAATGGAGAGCTCTGGGGCACACTGGAGGAGGGATTGCAAGGAGGTAAAGGGGGGAGAGGGGAGCAAGGAGGGCATGAGTAACTGAAGGGCACATTTATGAAGCAGCTGGGGGAGGGGAGAGGGGGCAAGGCCAAAAAGGAGCAGGGAGCCCTTTCCCAACCTAGGACGGGTTAAGCCAAGAGCAGGAGTTCTTAACCAGGGGTTCACGGAGAGATTCCAGGAGGATCGTCAACTCTATGTCGAACTATTTTAATTACTGTTTTCTTTTGCATCTTATTTTATTTCTTTAAAAGCCTAATTCTGAGCAGGCATCTACCGAAGTGGCTTCACCAGCCTGCCTGCCTCCCAAACAGTCTGTGAAAGACCCAACCAATGGTACCAAGCCCTGTCCTCAAGGCCACAGGAAGCTATGGACAGTCTGTATACAAAGGACTACTATGGTTCAGGTCTTTCAAAGTAAGCCCGTCAGGGAAAGAAGAAGGGCTGCAAGCAGAGCACCATGGGGTAGTCATTATAATGGGGAGGAGGAACTCAGTTAGGCTGCTGACCTGGGGAGTGAAGACCTGAAGAATTCACTAAGGACCAGGCACTAGAGGCACACAGACTAAAATGTCCCAGTCCCTACCCTCAAGAAGCTTACATTCTAGAGCAAGTTCTATGTACATGTAAGGACATAACAACAAAAATACCAGAAACCTCAAATAGAAAATCGTGCTTGGCTTTTAGGAGCTTCACAAGGTGCCTTCACCCCACCTTTCCAGCCTTCTTACACCTTCTACTGCACATACGCTTGCATCCGGCGACCCTGCTGGCCTCCTGGCTGCTCCTCACACAGCTCCCCACTCCAGCCATTTTCTCAGGCCGTCCTCCATGCCTGGCCGCTCTCCCTGTCCTCCTCATTCCTGGTGCCTTTTCTCTGACAATACCCTCAGATGATCCTGTTTATATCTTGTCTGTACACAACTGTTTGCATGGCGTCTCCTCCGCTAGACTGTGAGCTCCCTGAGGGCAGGAACCCTTTTCTGCCTTGCCCTCTATTCCCGGTGTGAGACTTGGCCTATAGGCAGGAGCTGGCTGGCGGATGCCGTGTCTGACCCAACAACTGGCTTGGTCAGTGACATTTGGGGCCAGGAATGCAAAGCTAGCAAACTATTACTAGCTCAGCCAACTCCCTCCCATCCAGGTGTGCAAGACTAGGAACCTTTCCGGATCATAGTATCCTTGGAGTCAGTCACAGTCCACACCACTAGGGGACTAGTCCTCGTGAATCTGCCCAGCAACAACAATCAGCTATAATGGCAGCGAGCCAGGAAATCTGGGTTTTCTCTCCATGGAGACATATAATCCACCCACTGCACACTGAGCCATCAGCCTCGAGGATGAGGGAGCGCCCTGCAGCCTCCCATGCCTGTACAAACTGCCTGACTCATGATCCTTTGAGAACGTCCTTCCTTCCACTATCCCCTCACTTGCAGCATTTAGCACAGTGCCTGCTGGCACATAGTAGGTGCTGAATCAAAACGCCAGCTGGCTGACAGAGATACGTAGATAATATCGCTTGCTTTAAGATATATCCATTCACCATTGCATATTAACCAGTAAGGCTTTTTTCTCCCTTGGTAAGAACTGTGTGTAGGCATTTATTCCCCACCCTTCCCTCTGGAGCCTGGGTAAGCACTTCACCTGTAGAACTGCAGAGTGAAAAGCCGGCAAGCGCCTCTGCAATGTCATCAGCCTCACCCGCCTCCAGGGAGGCCACAACCTCTCCAGGCCCTTCTCCTGACACTTCCCAGGTGACTGGTGGGTAAGCATGTGCATACTTTGCCCTTTACCCTGAGAAGCAGCCTGGGGGTCTCACTCTCTTTTTCTAATGACAGCTTCACAGACAAACAGTCCACCCAGGCCAGAGAGTCTCTCTGCTCCTGGCATCACAGACTACTAACCTACAGTAGCTCACAGTGACCATGAGCAGTAAATGAGGAAATGCACCCCTCTCACACTCTTGTCCTGCTCACCCAGCTACTGCCCTCAAAGAACCCCAAGCCTTGGTCTGGAAGCACAGGGGGCAGACCCCTTGCCAGCTGCCATCCTGAGACCCCAAAACAATCGGACACTGATGCGTTCTACTCACATGACACTGCCTATTATTATTTTAAAAAATTCCCTGAGCACCCATGTCCAGTAGAAAGCCTGGAAAATGAGGACATAATGACTAAACTACCTACACAAGAGAGAGGTGAGGATCAAATGAGATCCCGTTTGTGAAAAGGCAAGAAGGAGGCAGGCTCACAAGCACAGGTGGAGAGGAATTCCCACTGGAGATGAAGGGGGGGTGCTTTGCTCTTAGCCACACGAGAAAAGGGGGTAAAGCCAAAAAAGAAATTCTGAAATGGAAAAGAAAGAAGCTGCAGCAGCTTGTGTTGACGGGGTCTCAATCTTCTCTTGGTGAGATTACCTGCTGAGACTGAGGTGGGTAGGGGGAGGCGAAGTGCATGAGATAGGAGGGAGACGTTTGGGGTGACCACCGTAACAGGGAATGAGATGGCGACCGTAAGAGATGAATACTGTGAGCATGGGCAAATGCGCAACTGGAAGTGGGGCAGGGAGGGCATGAGCAAATGAAGGTCACGTTCAGAGGCAACGTCATCGACACTTGCGTGACTGCGTCCAGCAACGCTGGCTGGTTCCAGAGGAGTCAAACTTGATAGAGATGGTAAAGTCAGTGAAAGGAAGGGCCTGAAGAGCAGTAGGAGAAGGTATGACAAGTTATTAAGAGGAACCATCCCAATCCTCTAGATAAGAAGGTAAAATATAAAGAATATGCTAAAAGGAAGAGATTAAACACCACAAATATCAGCTGAATTTTGTTTGGAATGGCCTGCCGAGGCCCCAGCTCCAGGTCACTCCCTTCCTGTCTCCTCCCTGGACCCAGGGCAGGCCCAAGGTCCCATCCATCCTATCCCCTCTCCCCCTGCTCCTTTAGTGCAGTCTTTCCCTGTTTGAATGCGACCTCCTTAAAGGCAGAGGTTACCTTGCTGGGGTGTACTTGTATCCCCAGAGCTACCCACAGGCCCTGGCCTAGACGAAGGGCTTCATAAATGGTCTACCAGCTAGCTGGAAACGAGCAGCTATGCTGAAAACAAAGCTACCCTGGGCAACAACTCCATCGGAAGCACTCGTTCAAGATGGCCGACGATTCCAATGGCGGCACACGGGTTTAAAAATACACAAAACTGAATTTCAGTCCTCAGCGACCTCGTCTATCATCACCTGAAAGTATCCAAAATACACCGTCCAAGTCGGCAATATACCTAACTGTATCCTGGGCTTCCTGGCTGCCAAGGCTGAAAACAGGATTATAAATGAACAAGATCTGACAGTCATAATCCATCCAAATTCAGCTGCACGCCAGGCAGAATTTGGTTTGCATCTGGAGAGTTAATGCTGAGTTTAACTTCCGATTACCAGCCTCCCACTTGCCTTGTAGCTGAAAAGAATGTTTTCTTAAACCAGAGGAAGAGGCAAATGATGCCTCCTCTACATGCTCTACAGAGAAATGATTGCCACAGCAGAACAAGAGAAAATTTCAGTTTTCTACAGAAGCTATGAGTGGCCAGCCAACATCTGTACCGCAATGCCCAGCCTGTGAGGCCCGAGTCAGTCAGCCCGAGCCCTTGCGCACACTCACCGATGCACACGTCTATCTTGCCCTTGATAGATGCTTCATGCAGAGGCGTGTAGTTCCAATTGTCCCGGGCATTTGGATCTGCCCCTTGGCACAGCAACAGGCTGACCACTTCAGCGTGGCCAAAGGAGCAGGCGTTGTGGAGAGGAATCAGCCCACCGTCGTCTCGGGCATGGACATTGGCACCCATCTGCAGTAAGTGTTCTACCACATCCTTCCTTCCAAAACCTGGAAACAAAGAAAAGGGAAGCTCAAACGGTGACCTCGACTTTGTTGTTTCAAGTAAGAAAAGATTTAGGAATCTATAAAAAATAAATAAATAAAAATGACCAAACGAATGATTCTTCTCACATAAGTGAGTGAAATATGATGAAAAAAAATAAAAATTTGTAAGAATAAAATTCAGGATCCCACTCAAACACCAGCTATCCCACCTGACAAAATTTGAGAAGAAAGCTCTTCTCCTTTGGCTGCTGGCCAACAATGAAAGCACACCTTTCATGTTTTACTATCACTCACAAATACCTGTACACACTAAAGAAAAAACAAAAAAACAAAAAAACCTTCCTCTCCTAAAATTCCAAAAAACTGAAACTCCAATCACTCAACTTTACCACAGAGAGAAAAGGAAAACAGGTAAATCTGAGAACTGTGGTGAATAAAGAAACAGACAAGATTTTGTGTTACGATTGAGGGGATTAAGAAGAAAAAACTCAAGCATGATGCCAAGGTTTCTCTCCAGTCAGAAATCAGTAGTATTGTTAAGAGAAATAAAATGGGTAGGAAGGAGGCCCATAGTTCGAGGTAAGCCATCAAAGACTGCTAGATCACAAATCTAATTTTGGAAATAGTAAGAATTTCAGGGGAAACATCTAAGGGGAGAGGGAGAGGGAGGGAGAGGGGGGGGGCAAGGACTGAGTCTTTAGAGAAAAGGGAAAGATGAAGGAAAATGTAAATTAAACAGTGGAGGTAGCACAAGACTCAAAGAACTTCACGGTCATAAAAAACAAAGGACAGTTTCACAAAATGCAGTCAAAAATGTTAGATCTTGTAGAAAGTTTGAAGAGAATGACAACTTAAAGTTAACGAATTAAGCAAGAAGGTAATCTTGGTAACTTAAAAGGGAGTAATTTCAGAGAGCAGGGAAAACAATTCAGACAATTCATTTCAAATACTAACATTTTAGAACAGTAATTAAAGGATTATAATTTTAAAATATTAAAAAAAATTTATTTCTAGCCCTTACTTTAAATTTTTCCAGTTTTATGGGTTTGTGTTCCTAGTTCCATGCTAAAAATTCCCTTGGATTCTCCTTCAAAATTAATGTTGGAAAATGGCATTTGAAATAAAAAAATTAAAAGGCAACAAGTGGTACTTCCATCATTAAAGGAGTGAAACTGCTATCTAAACTAAGAGCTAAAGGGAAGACAATGCACTGTTTAAAAAATGATTTATAGTCAGTTTGCTTCTAAATGGATAAAAGGTAGCTCATTACAGATCTATTTTGCTACACTGGGTCATGCAAAACACATGCATTCTAAGATGGTAATTTACAAAGAACATTGTAAAGCAAGTACTATGTTCTCACAGACTTAACATTGCAAAATTAGAACCATGCCCCCCTATTCAAGATTCCCAAGATGGAGGTAAAAATGGATAGTGACAACAGTCAAAATGCACGACCCACCTACTCACGTGGCCTTTTGAAAGACCTGCACATGGTGGAGCAGAAGAGTTCTAGTCTACTTTAAGAGGCGTGAGTAGTCCTCACCAAACAGTGTGCCTCCATAAAGACCCAGGAACTTTTCTCTCCTGTCCTGTTTTGATCTGATTATTAGACTGTGATGTCACACTTCACCAAGAGATATTATCTAACATGATGTACTGCTGCATAACACATTGAAAATTCTACATATTAACTTCACTTAGAACTTGAAAGATATCCGAACCATAAAAAGAAAGAATGAAACTGTCCACCCTCAACATTATATACAGTTTTTTGATTAAAAAGCATTATATACATGTGGCCTCAACTGTCTAAAAAGGCACTAAGGACAGCCTTGAGCTCATCAACAAGGTTTATCGACTGCACAGATCATCAGAGTAGCAGGAGAGTTTACTGTCAGAAAGATTCTAGGGGGCTGGGCTTCCACAGCAGGATAAGAAATTCCAAGATCTTGTGGATAGTCCCTCAACCAATCAGAAAGTACTCAAAACTTTTCTATAAACAACTAGTTCCTTAAGAAAGAGCCCTAGAGGATAAACCAGTTGCAACCAGCCGGGTTCAAGCATGGGGCTTTGACCAGGCAAAGGCTTTTCTCCATTGCGCTTGTACTGAATATGAACTGACACACCCCAAGGGTGGAGATAGCCACCATTTTTGAACATGGGACCCATGAAGTAGGTAGTTAACAGAACATGGACGAACATGCGATGGGCTGTCTAGGAAGGGTGTAACTCAGATGAACTGGACCAATGGGTGGAGTATGGATCTTACTAACGGTTTAAAAGTTGATTCTACCACTGAACCAGTGCCCGCGTGCTACCGAAGTGCATTATGCCCGCTTCTCTTGTGAGACGTGTAATAAGACTTTCCTTCACTCACTCACTGTAGTAGATTTTTGTTTCAGATTTTTCCAACATTTACTTGGCCTGAGAATTCCAATTCAACAAGGACAAACCAGAGTGGCTGTCCAGAAACTAAGGGCAAAACAGAACCGGAAACTATGCTCTCGTGGTCCCCAGGACAGAACTCGGAGTGAGCACCACAGTTGCTCACACTCAGTATCTCCCCAATGCAAGCTACGCACATTGAGGGCACAGACTACTAGTCAACATCTAACAGTGTGTGGCCTATAGTAAGCATGTTTGCTGACTGATTCCCCATTCGATCAATCTGAACCTTCTAAATAGAAGTCAAGTCATGATTATGAAAAAGGAAATGAAGCGCTCACAAGTTTAAACTAGTCAGCTTTGAGATGAACTTGGCTTCAACCAACTAAAGGCCTCTTGCTTCCCACATTAAACCATAATCACTAAGGGAAAAAAAGAAGTGCTACAGAACCAATGCGTCTTTACCCACTGGCTTCTAGACCAGAATGCTAGGAAGCTATAAATTACCTTCTGACCACAAGTCTTTTGATAATCACGCTCTTTCTCCACAGCCCTCAGGGTGGGCCTCAACTTCAACTCTTCAGATGGTAGATTCCATGAATAGCCATACAACAGAGCTTCAAAAGAATGTAAGAATATTGATGTGTGTGTGTGCGTTTTAAGGCAGATCTTTGTAGGAATCCCGCAGGAAAACTGAAGCAAAGAAAAGAAAAAGATGGGCTGGACACATAGAATAGAGTGAAGAATGGTCAACCATTTGCTCTACTGCTCCCCAAGGAATATTAAGAGACAGAGAGAGAGGCCGGCAGCACCTTGGAGAGACTTCTGCAAGAGGACTGGAGGACACAGACAAGAGACACAAGAAGTCACAGAATCCGAAAGCTGGAACGGACCTCAGTAGCCATTATGCCAACTTATACACATAGCCGAGCAGCTGTCCACTATTTCTGAAGACCTTCGAATCCTCCACCTTTTAAGACAGCCCATTCTACTCCTGGACAGCCCGAAGAGTTAGAAAGCTTTTTCAAGCATCAAACCTTCATTTGCTTCTTTTCAATTTCCACCCACTGCTCCTGGTTTTGTCTCCTGGAGCACATTTACTGATTTCAATTACTGCCCAAGCATTATTTGTGAATCCTTAGGGGTTTACAACTGTCAAGATGAGGAAATGATTTTCACTAAAAGCCAACCTGGCTTTAGGGAGTACAAGTACTGTCAAATTAATGTCACTGTCTTTTTTGATACCGTAACAAGACTGGTATACAGGGAAATACTAAAGACATAACACCTAGATTTCAATTTTTTAATGCGCTCTCTTAGGACAAGCAGAAGTATTAATGAATAAGCACTTCAGCTCCAAGCTTATGGATGAAATACAAAGTATTTGTGGCTTCCTAAAGGCAGAGCACTGTGGGCTGGCCCAGCTTCAAGGGGGGCTCCTTATCTAAAAGCCAATCACTCTCTGGCTTTCACTGGAAGGCCAATAACAGCTCCAGCACAAGCCTCTACTGGCTCATTTTTAGGTCTTAATGGTTTATAACGTGCACAAATAGCAACTGTTTTCTGTTCTGGCCAGAGACTTTAAGGGTCTTGCCCTCCCAGACTGATACTTTTGTGACTGTAAATTAGGCCATCTTTGTCTCAGTTCTTACCTAACCCTTTGGTCACTGAATGGGCATTGCCTCAGACAAACTGAGGCCTGGGAAAGATCTTCATTCAGAGAAGGCCAAGGTTATCCACTACATCCCCGGCCATCATCTCTGGCCACTGCCAGTCAATAACTCTGGAGGAGACAGTGAGACTGACGACTTTGCTCAGCTCTGCCTTACTTCAATTCAATTCATGCCCAAGTCATGACATCACCCCAATGTCACTGGTCCTCTTCGAGAACTGAGGACAAACAACAACAAAGGCAGAGCAGGTGGAAAGACTGTAGGCTCATCCCTTTGTACCAATGGCTCAGAATCTGGTTAATGAAAAGGACGACAAAGCCCTCCTTCACCAGGAGCTTCACATCCTCAAGGCACAATGCCATCTTGGTTACTTCCGCTGTCCTTTCTCACCTCCCCATACCAACTTCCTAACCCCCCAGCCCCCTGGCCAAGGATGATGCCCAGGGCTGAGATCACCCCATCACCAGTGGCTGTGTGAGTAGAGGGAAAGAGGTCTAAAGGATGACACACTGTGAAGACAGAAATGATAAAACTTGGCTACAGAATGGAGACGTGGGGTGAGTGCACATGAGAAGTTAAGAACGGAAGAAAGAGTGTAGTCAAGGTAACTCAGAAGACAACGGTGACATCCACAGTAACGGGGAAAAGAAAGAGGATGAGTCTGATGACTTAGGCATTCTGACTCTAAGGTGGAAACCATTTTCTGTTTTGTACTGATACTTGTCCTTAGCTACCATCATGCCCTATGTGGCACATCAAATACTTCCTATGATAGGTTTTTAATTCTTCTGATCTCCTCCCTCTGGCAACACCTGCAATTTCTGTCTTTCAGTTGCACCTCCACCTGGATGTCATAAAAGTACCTCAAACTCAACACAGAAAACAAAGCAATCTTTCCCCTTAAATCCACCCTGCCTTCTAGCTTCCCTCTTTCTATCTAGA